AGACGATGATAAGATAGATTCCGTGTCGCTTTCCGAGCATGCATGCGTATAGCGGTCCATTGTGAAACGATGACAAGTTCCCCCGTGACGTCACAAATCACCCTTACATGCTAATTAGGTTCTCTAGCTGAAGCCTCGTTGAGTCGGCCAAGAAATTGGACGTGGGCGTTTCCTTATCCAGAACATTATTATTGATTGTTTATTTAATTTATGTACATTTTTCACTTGTTTTTTTTTTCATAATGTTGTTTATAAATAAATTTTGCACACAAAGAAAGTCAATTGTCCCAATTCAGTTACACTTTAAAGGGCGGCAGTCGTCGCGCTGCGCATGTGCGACACTTGTGTTAATAAGCACTGGTTTCCCCACAATCAAATGCGCTCTTCTAATGAAAATCACAAGACCTGGGCGCGACCTAGTACGTTGTGATTCCTTCGACACCCTCCAATCACCTACAAATACTAATTAAAGCTTGGTAACGTCTCATTTTGTTGATCTGTGCAACAGTCAAAGTTGTCTTCTTTGTTTATATGTGTTCAGTCCATTATTTTTCGCACATAAATATTCGGTGCTATGTCTGAACTGGGACAGGAATGGGATGGGATGTCGTTGTCGAACGAAGCCGCGCCCTCACAGAACAGTGGAGTGAAGGGATACCCAGCAGTCATACATAACCCGGAAGTGTTTATTGTTGGGAAGGTTTATCCTCTTGTATTGGAGTTCGAACTTTGTGACGATTTTTTTGCTTCATAATCTGCTCCTTGGTGTGCTGCATATATTGCATTGTCTAGGTAAGGATAACTATATTACTGTTGTCATGGCGTATTGATGGTTATACAGATGTTTTTAGACCGTACTATATTTTAAAAATAGTAGACTTCTCTACACTACAACACCCCCCCCCCGATCTGATCGCTTACTGCATTTGCAAACAAGACAGTACCCCATGCATCGATTTGCCCAGGTTTACTTATATTGTAGATACCAGGGACTCCACCTCCACCTTCGGTTACTGCTGCATAATTATTTGATCGTTTTCTTCAAATTCTTGATTATTTTCTACAATGTTTTTTTAAAAAACATCCACATCGATATGCCAAAGTCACACTTGAAATAGCGCTTGTTTTTATCGGTTATATCACAGTCTCTGACTGTGCACAAACCGAGCATGTACATTTCTGAAGTAAACATACAAAAACAAGCGCTACATCACGCCTGACTGTGGAATATGTACATTTCTGAAATAAACATATAACCGATCAAAAACAAGCGCTATGTCAAGCGTGTGACCGTGGGAGTGATTGTAATTATTAACACGCCCAGGCGTTATGCTGACCTGTATACGTCTATTACACTGTGACATTCTTCCCACCTGTACATACAGTGTTTATAGATTGAAGAACACAACATGAAAATATACTAACATTATATGAACAACAAATGTCATTGTTTATTTTGAAATAATGAGAATGGTTACATATATTTTTTACACACCATTTCAATGAAATAAAATGTGACTGTCAGATATTGAAGCGAGAGGGTCGTCACCTGTGCACCCTGTCAAGCGACGATAACAACACACGCTAAAAATGCAAAGACTTGTGGGTAGTCGCTTGTTTGTAAACAATGACACGCTATGGCCATCTGACTCCCCGCTTTAAGACTGGTCTATTTTTAATAATGACATATGTCTGTTCTCGTTGTCACAACTGGTTCCAAAATGTTTTTCAGTTTTTGGATTTATAATACGTGACCTGTATGCTGAGCAATTCTTAACAAAGTATTTTTTCTCTTAAGCTTCATCTTTGCCAGCCAAGGTCTAAGTTTATCTGGCCAAGCCTCTAAACAGACCTTGGCAGAATGACCATCAAATATGCGTATTCTAACAGCACCCCCAGTAGTCAGTTGCGGCTAATCATTGTCCAATCAGTTTGCGTGTAACAAATCTCTCTTTGGCGTTTCATTTTTTTCAGTTTTGTGTGGGAAGGATGTCTTCATAGCGACAAAAACAGGAAGTGGAATTTTGTTTTATAATTTGGTACGTCCAAGCTGATTGGGCGCCTTGTTTCCAGGGGCGCCCAATCAGATCTCACTGCTTAAGATACGCAATTAGCCTATGCGATCTTGCACGGTATCGTGTAGAGGCCTATAGATCGAAGACACGGGACCGTGGGATTCGGACGATGTTAAGCTTTGACTTGTGTACGTTTGTTGCATGTTCTAGAATTGAAAACTATCTGTTTATTCCTGACAATCTCAAATTTAAGTTAGTTACTAACTCCCCAATTAGTTATATGAAGCTGAACAATTTGTGATATCAGTAAGGTAACTTTCCGTCTTTCAAATTTCAGATCCATGCCGGTAAAATGGACAGTGGACCTGTGAACACGGATGCATTCAATGAAAGTCTGGTTGGCACTGCTGATGAACATTCTGCAACCTTCAGAAAGGGAACTCAGGAAAAGTCAACAGACAATACAGATGACGTGAAGGACAGTGCAGGTGAAGGTGATGTAAAATCTAGTGTAGATGTGAGTGCAGTGAAGTCCTGTGCAGATGAAAGTGCAGTAAAATCCAATTCAGGTGAAGGCGATGTAAAATCTGAAGTAGACGAAAGCACAGTAAGGTCCAGTGCAGGTGAAAGTGATTCAAAACTCAGTGTAGATGAGAGTGCGGTACAGTCTGATACGGATGAAAACACAGTAGTAAGGTCCTCAGATCGTACAAGTGAAAGCACCGACAAATCTGATAAAGTTGTACCTGAAGAAAACTCTGATGAGCCTGCAGATGAACCCATGGACAAGTCTGATGACTCACTTGATGTCACTGAATTAAAAACTGCCTTCATACAAAAGGCAAGTTTAGCATTCAATATACCATGAAATTTATTCCTTGTAGTAAAAATGTTGTGTACAGAAATTAATAGAATACAAATTAACAATTCTGCATTTGTTGTGGTATGTATTCAACTGATGTTGATATAATAAATGTTGTTGTATTAGAATTGATATTTTATTACAGAGCTCAAAATACATTTTTTAGAGACAAATTTAGAGAAAGATGAGCAGGAAGAGACGAGAAAAGGTGACTGGGAGAGCGAGATTACCAATTCAAAAAATGCTAGTACCTCGGTACCATATGAAAATGTTGGGTAGACTGTTTTAACATATATGAAATTATAAATACATAAACAACATAAGTGTAAATTATTTGTATTTTTTTTTGTACATCACTGGAGTTAAATTATAAATTTGTATTTTCAAAAGAATCCGTGTGGTGCTACTTTTAATTTGAAGCCCTGTAGTATTTTGTTGTTTACTTTGGTCTGTTTGATAATAATTTCTGCTTACAATCTTTGAAATATACCTCGTACTAAAACACAATGCATGTCTTACTCGATACAGGGCCATGAGCTAGCGGCTGAAAAAGGCTTCAGCATATTTATCAAATTGATTGATTTAGAAGGTAACTGTCAGTACTATGGAACTAATGACTTGGTGAGACAATATCATCTCTCTGGATTGAAAGTTCGTCGTGATGACGTTGTACTGTGTGGGGAGAGTGGATTGCCACTCAAAGATAAATACCGAACAGCTGATGGTGATAGTTCAGATGAAGATTTTGAACCACCCACCATGTCCGGTGTACCAAATCCACATGTTGCAGGTACTCAGTTAACTTTAACAATATCACACTAGAACATTTTGAAGTCTGATAATTTTTATGTTTGATGCATGCTCTCTATTCTTGACTGGCGTGTTTGAAGCACACAGTGGGAGTTATTGCAGTTTAATGCTCTAAAAATGGCTTCATTTCAACTGTTTTTGTAAAAATTAAATTGTTCTAGGGTCTTGCCTAAGAATTTTCAAAAGTTTACAAAATATGTTATTGCATTATAGATCATTGACTTATGAGAATGTATTTTGAATACTGTAAAATACCTTATTTTCGCTTGGAATTAATTTTCTCTATTTTTGCTAAAGGACTGATTCAGTGAAAATAAAATCCAGCAAATATACTTTTTTTTCTATATTTTACATTCAACTCGTCAAAAATCTTTGAAAATAAATTCTATACAAAACGCCCAAAAAGTCTTTTCAGCGTACATTAATCCTAGCTAAAATAAAGTATTATACAGTATACGGCAAAGTATGCATGAAGGACAGTATCGGGAGAACTCAACTGACGTGAAGTGCAGTATAATGTATCAAACGTAAACTGTCTGAATTCATGTATATTATTATAAATCTTCCTGACCAAACTTCTTTGTGTTAAATCCAAAGCTGAGAAAATGGTGACAATTCTTGAAACCTTCTGACAATTACATGTACTAGTATAAACTTTACTTCAAACATCTTAGAAATACCTTTCTAATTTTTCTATATTTGGAATTCACATTACCGTATATGGTAGGATGCAGCATACAGTGACAGATGTAATAATATTTACTATTTTTGTTCACAAGTTGTTTCTATTTTATTCTGTTGTCAACAGGAGGCAACAAGACTGGTCTTCGAAGAAATCCTGTTCGCCTAAGCAACCTTTATTGATCCTCGGCAACTGTATGCAGAGGACAACCAAGCGAGCTCCTCTATGTCCGAGTCAGCTGCTGGTGAGGGAGAAGCTCCTTTGTTGCAAATCAATGAATTACCAAGCAAACCCGGTAGAGGGCGCCCCAGAAAACGCAAAGCTGACAATCCAATGAAACATATTGTAAAACTCCCATTAAAGAAGAGAGTGCAATCTGCTCCTGTGGAAAGAAAGAGACGCGGTAGAAAACCACGGAGACTGATAGCTGAAGGTGATGAAACGCAAGAAAAGGTAAGAGGAAGAAGTGCAAGGAATGAAAAAAAAGTGCAGTGTCAATACTGTGAAATGAGGTTCCGTGACAAGTGGCATTTAGATCGGCATGAGAGGTCACATACTGGTGAGAAACCACATTCTTGCGAAGATTGTGGTAAAACGTTCAGTTCTAAATCACATTTTAAAGAGCACATGCTAATTCATCAAGACAAAAAAGACTTTGTGTGCAAGCTTTGTGGTCGAGACTTCCATCTCATTGCCAACTTACATCGTCATGAAAAACACCATGAGACTGGCCGATGCTTTGCCTGTAAACAATGTAAGCAAGTCTTCTCGCAAGACGTTCAGCTGAAAGTGCATGAAGAGGACCATCTGAGTGACGAACAGAAGTCATTGGTTTGCGTGATCTGCGGTGATAAGTTCGGCACATCTGAAGCGTATGCAAGTCATAACCGAAAGGAACACAATGCATTATTATTCCTTTGTGGGTTGTGTGACGAAGGGTTTCAAAATATGAGCAAATTGAAATCTCACCTGCTTATTCATTCTACACCCGATACACGTCCATATCAGTGTGACCAGTGCGGTAAGACATACAAGTCTGCTAATGCGCTGAAGTGGCATGCAGAAATGCATTCTGGGAAGTCATTTCCTTGCGAGATCTGCAACCACAAATTTTACCGACAAGCAGACTTGACAAAACATGAACAGACCCATTCCTCTGAGAGGAATTTCGTATGCGAGAAATGTGGAGCCCAGTTTAAGACAGCGCATTATCTTGGTACGCACCAGAGGAGACATTTAGGGCTCAATCTACGTAAATATAGTTGTGGAACCTGTGGAAAGTCGTTTGCAACTACGGGTCATCTTAAACGCCATGAAGTAATACACGACGGAGCTAAACCGTACAAATGTCAGTTTTGCAATAAAAAATTCAACCGCCAAGATAATCTGAAAACACATCTAAAGGTTCATGGTGTTACGAGTACGCCACCAAAAGCACAAACACAGAAGTCTGAGTCAAAGGAAGTAGCCCTATATAGCCCTAAAACAACGCCCCCCAATCCTCAACAGCAGTCCGATTCGGAAAGTTACGACTCAATGTCCGAATCCAGTGAAGGAGAAGAACTGACACCACCTGTTAGACAAGCTCAGTATTACCCACAACAGTCACAACAACGCCCACATATCCCACAGCTTCTTCCGGCTCCCCCTGCCAACCCAAGTAATCTCCCATCGCATGCAACGTCTCCCCCTGCCCACCCAAGTAATCTCCAGACACATGTGCGACCTCCCCCTACCCACCCAAGTAATCTCCCACCGCATGCAGCACCTCCCCCTGCCCACCCAAGTAATCTCCCACTGCATGTACCACCTCCCCCTGCCCACCCAAGCAACTTACCACCGCATGCACCGCCTCCCGCTGCCAACCCAAGTAACCTCCCGCCGCATGTACTGTATCCGAACAGTCAAGCAGCCATGACAGCAGCTGTGGAGACATTGAAAACAATACAGTGGTCTCATCTCAACCAATAAACTGTGCAACTGTTTTTCATTGAAATGTACAGTGTACATTTACATTATTATTGTTGTTCAGATTTAAAGTTTATTCATTGTATATAGATTTGATTGATATAACTTGCAATAGTTAAATAGGAAATTCATGAAATGCAGGTTCAGTGTTATTTGGAATAACAATTTTTCAAAACATTATTAGCCTGCAGTGAAAGGCATAAGACTGGGGATAAACGTTTTATAAATATAATTTTTTTATAAATCAGAATGACTGGTAAAATTAACCAATTCAGAAATGATATGATGACATCATCGTGAGTTGTGATTAATATTAATAAGTTAGTTTAACATCACCCAATAAAGCCCTCCATTTTGAATAAGTGGGCGGTCGCAGTTAATTGCTATGTCACTTGAAGGCTAGTAGACAATGTGGAGCTCTTTAAGCCATTTGAATTTGAATGAAAGGTGATGATTGGTATTTACAAATTGTTATAAATATGTTTATAAACTAAGGTACAGCGTTCTGCTTTATTCTGCAGAATATACTGTAAAATACGTAATTTACGCTGAGAAGATATTTTGGGTGTCTTGTATGGAATTTATTTTCACTAATTTTTGACGAGTTGAATGTAAAATATAGAAAAAAAGATGTATTTGCTGGATTTTATTTTCGCTTATATCATTCCTTCAGCGAAAATACGAAAATTAATTCCAAGTGAAAATAAAGTATTTTACAGTATGCATTTGTTTACAAAAAAAATGTATGTCATTTAGAGACCTTTACAATTAGGATGTAGACACTGTCATAATCACTTAATTTTAACCGATCTGTATACATTTTGCCACAAGCTGAAAAGTGTAGCTTGATAATTCATAAGTTCAACCATTCTGGCCATAGATGGTGCTGTCTGTGTGAAACCAATTTGGAAATGAAACTTCCTGAATAAATTAACTTGTTTTTTTTTTGCATGTCACAGTTACCATACAGAAAAATATATAGGTCACTTAAAGTCTGCATCAGCTATTGAACGTAAATTCAGTTGACTGATTGGAAAGAAGTAGTTTCAATCCCATGCAACATTTATTTTACTTCCCTTGATTCAAGTCAGGTACTGGTAGTTTCTAATGTTTCTAAGTTTCTAACATCCCAGGTTCATGTAAAGTCGGAAATCAGTAGTTTTGAATGTTAGAAAACATTTGCATAGCTATTAAGATTAACTGACCAATGAATGGAGAGTATTTTACATCCCAGGTTCATGTTAAGTCAGAAATCAGTACACTGTAACCTCAATATAATGAACACCGTTATAATGAATTTCCTGATATAATGAACACTAGCGTGTCTCCCGCTTACAACAAACCCAATGTATTATGTGCTTCAATATAGTGAACATTTCACTATAACAATCTATTTGTATGTCTCCCAAAGAGTTCCTTATAACGAGGCTACAGTGTAGTTTTGAATGTTAGAAAACATTTGCATAGCTATTAAGATTAACTGACCAATGAATGGAGAGTATTTTACATCCCAGGTTCATGTAAAGCTAGCCTGACAAGTT